TGCCGTCCTCTTCTTTTGCCTTCAATAATTTTGATAATACTAGTTTCAAATGCTGTAGAGAAAAGTAGAAATGGGAAATAATTCATGTGGTATGTTTATTTAATATTGTTTAAGTAATTGACAAGCATAAGTAACATTAAGCCTCTTGATCTTCATATTACTGATAGTCAAAACTATATAGCATAACTTACGCAGCTACAAGTCCTGAAACATAGAAGGGCCTATACCTTGCTATGCTGCAGTGCTCTTCCTTCACTCATTTTTGATAGAAGATACAAGACCACTAGTAACAGTTAATTAGATCCCACAAACTTGACATTTATACACCTGTATTGTTGCTTAGTTATTGTTATTGCTGCTTATTATTCCTTTAGCATAGAATATTAATAAGAATTTACTATTGTATTTGTATTTCTAGTTCTCTAAATTCCTTTTTAGAACATACAGAATAATTTACTACATTTTATTACTTCTATGGTAGCATATAATATATTACCATATTAATCTTATGCTGAATCCACCTTTAATATCAGTATTAAAATTAATCTTGTACTTCTTAGTCTGTTGCTGATTCCATAGTTTTTAATCTTCTATTTATCTTTCCATTGTCTGTAGACACAAATTTATTTTTTTTATTTTTTTTATTTATTAAATTTGTCCCCCAAGTCCCCTATTCGGGGGAAATGGGGTGGGGGACAAATTTAATAAAGTGGGGGACAAATTTAATAAAGTGGGGGACAAATTTAATAAAAAATAAAAGGGAAAAAATCCAGGAGGCTGATGGCTCAAGGCAGCAACGCCAGGCCACTAAGGGACTAGCCAACCCCACAGTTGATGATGCCCCTCCTTGCCCCAGGCCAGATGGCAGAGCCAGGACTTCAGATCCATCCAAAAGGCCAGGAGTGAGGGGGCCAATCTCACCTCCAGGGGCAAGATATTCCAAAGTGTGGGGGATATTGCAGAGAAGGCCCATCTTCTGGACCCCGCTAGTCGGAGTTCTTTTGCCGAAGGGGTCCGGAGCATGCCTTCTCTGTGTGATCGGGTGGGATGGGATGAACTCGTGGGGGAGAGGCGGTCCCTTAGGTAACCTGGTCCCATGCCATGTAGGGCTTTAGAGGTGATAACCAACACCTTGAATTGGACCCAGAAGCAAACTGGTACCCAATGCAGCTTGCGAAGCAGTGGTTTTATATGGGTCCTTCGGGCCCCAAAAATAGCTCGCGTGGCTGCATTCTGGACCAGCTGAAGCTTCCAGATACTCTTCAAGGGTACCCCCGTGTAGAGCACACTGATTTCATAAGGAAAGGTTGTAGAAGTTTAGTGTTATTTATGTCAGTGAATGACTAGAAAATGGGAATGTACTGGAAAACATGGGAAATAGAGATCTGCAAAGTTATTTTCAGTTTTTATAATATCTCATTAATTTTAATACAACTAATACGCATAATATTTAATGTTTGTGTTCATCCTTTTATTGTTTTTATCACTTTTACCTGAGCTACCTGGAGTCTTGGAAATTTGGAGGGCTATAAATTTTAATACATAAATGAAACCTATCTCTTTTCTTTATCTCCCCCTTACAATTCAGACTGATTTTTTCCCCATGGAGAGTTTACCCCTCCCCCCAACATTCAAAACATCCATACTGAACATCTTGGCGAGAAAGGCTATAGTGTTTTTTAGGGGAGATTTATACCAAAAAAAGTGACTCAGTGCTATAGTGCCCTTTACTGATAAAGAAAAAAGGGGCAGCTCTTATGTTGCTGTTACCCCCCAAAATAAAAATAAAATAAAATAAAAAGGTTAAAACCCCCAAATATAGGAAAAAAGTAGAAGTGATGTCTTCCCCGCTCCCTACTTTGGGACCTGGCTGCATCCACTTTTGGAATGTGGTCTTTGATGTACAATGCAAAGTCCAGTGCAATCCTCAAGTTGGTGAAAGTTGCACAGCCCCCATCTAAAACTGCAATGCATTTTGGGCATTGGATATTTGTGTGCCTAAAATAGCTTTTTGCTTTGACTATTATGTATTATGATTGGATGTGGATTCTGACATGACTATCTTGCCTAATGTGAAATTGCTGGCAAAATAGCACCTTGTATCTACCTGTTACAGGGCATGAATTGTCCTAAAGATGTACACTGATGATAAAACTTAATAATTAGGAATCTAACATCTTTAAAATGTTTTAGCATTTTTTAAAACCTGAAAAGGTCACTGTCATGTACAAACAGTAGGAGCTTGCTTCCATCTTTAAAAAATGTAAAACCATATTCTTTTGCATTAGATTCGTGAAAAGCTGAAGAGCAAAAAAGAAGCAATGGAAAAGTCTGAAAGGGCCAAACAACTCCGTGCCCTAAGAAAATACGGCAAACAGGTAAGGCGTAAACTTGTAATTGGATGACAAAAACCCCTTCAGTTCATCAACCACACCACCTGTTTTGCTGATTTTCAGTCAATTGACAGAGGATTTTCAGTCAACTGACAGGATTCCCCACAGCTGCATGAGAACAATATGTATCTGCATATCCATAAAAGTGGAAGATTTGGGGAAAAAATGGGTACAGGGGAGAGCAAGGCTCATGCTTGATTTCTTGTTGATAGGTTCAAACGGACGTGTTGCAGAAGAGACAGAAAGAGAAATCCACAATGTTGAACGCAGTCAAGAAATATCAGAAGGGTGAGTCACTTCCTCCCCGCCTCCCATTCCTCAATTTTATCAAAGGAGTAAGAAACTGTGATAACTAGAAAGCAGGTGAGTCTCAGCCTTTGCTGCCTAACAAAGGCTTGTGAATAGTTGCCCCAGCGGATAGTCTGCTATGGCTGGAATATAGGAACAGCAATACTGTTGTTGGTAGGATGTGCCTTTCTGCAGCCAATTGGACAGGACAGGACCTGTATTTGCTGATCAGGGATCGCCCATTAAGTTGCAACTACGAAGTGGTTTTTTGTTTGTGTTCATAGTTTTTCTTTGCCTTCTGATTCTTCTGCAAACTTTCTCCTTTCGCCCAGTTTTCTCCATTCTGTTAATCACTGCAAAAGGAATGAGTAGCATATCCACTGACAGATTTCAGTGGCTTTGCAAGGATTTGCAGTACTTCAGTTGTTTAATATCTGCATTAATCAACTGACCTTTTCACGTAAGGTAGACAACTGAAATAAAGAAAATTTGGGGACAGGAGAGTGGCTATTTTGTGAATAATCAGTTTATGAAGAGGTGCTCTCTTCAAAGTACTGTCTATTACACGTTTTCTGGTTGATGGATTTTGAGAATCTAGTAAAATCACAGTATAGATAGTCATTGCTTAATGACCACAACAGGGCTGGAAAATTGGTTAAGTGCGTCACCATGTGACCAGACCCAATTTTATGACCATTTTTATGATGGTCATAAAGTGAATCACTTGGTTGTTAAGTGAATCACATCGTTAAGCAAATCCAGCTTCCCCAATGGACGTTTTTTGCCGAAAATTGGCAAAAAAAGGCTGCAAATCACGATCATGTGACTGCAGGATGCTGCAACCAGTCGTAAATGTGAGCCAGTTGCCAAGCGCCCAAATTGTGATCACGTGACTGTGGGGGTTGTGCAATGGTTTGTGACGATCATAAGTGCGAGTAAACGTCACAAAGCACTTTTTCCGAGGCTGCCATAACTTCAGACTGTCATTAAACGAACAGTCATTAAATGAGGACTACCTGTGGATCCAGTAAGCCTGATGTTATGTCATTTGGTAGACAGTGATTTGATGTATGTTTGGACTTTCTAAAACTAAATGTTAGTTTCTTTATTCTAAGATACTTGTAGAATAACTTTCTCTAAATTGGTCCACTACACATAAAATATTACATTATTTTTGAGATCCAAGGGTTAAGAGTGTCAGAAGGTTGCAGCCTCTCACTTATTCCTTCTTTCATGTAAGGTCTCTTAGACAAGCTGGAATTTCTGGAAGGTGAAAAATCATCAGTGCCTCAGAGGAAGAAGGAAGGAACAGAGAGTCAGCCAATCAAGAAGGGGTAAGATTAAGGCACATCTTTGTTCTGAGTCTGAATCCTTTGTATAAATCTAAAGCTTGCACACCCATCCAAGATCAAAAGTTGATTCACCAAGAGGCATTATCCTAGTTCCTGTTGCAGAGTTTCTTTATTTAGGGAACTGTCACAGTGAATGTACGCACCCTATCTTTTTCAAGATTTTTTAAAAAGTGTCTATTAGATATACTTGAAAAAAATAGGGACTGTGTTTTCAGAAGCTTCAGTAACTGAATGGAATAAAGGAATGAGCATTATATGTAAAATCAGGTGAAAGGAAGTATAAGTTTGAACATTTAAGGCTTGCATTTCCAGAGTACAAGAACTGTCTTATAAAGCAGAACTGATCTATAGCCTTAATCAGAGATCCTCAAACTTTTTAAACAGGGGGCCAGTTCACAGTCCCTCAGAATGTTGGGGGGCCGGACTATAGTTTGAAAAAAACACAAACGAATTCCTATGTACACAGAGGATCCCTCCTGTGGAGTATGAGGAGAGGAGGAGAGCCACCAGACCCGGCATACCTGTCATGTAGAATAGTCCGGCTCTGCGATCTCCCTCCTTGTGCATCGCCTGCAGCTCCCGACACAGCCCCAACACTTCTGCTTCTGACAGACAGCGGCGGTGGCCAATCAGGCGGGCGGGCTGGATAAATGACCCTGGTGGGCTGTATCCGGCCCATGGGCCGTACTTTGAGAACCCCTGGTCTTAATCCTGTTGCTACTTGTACATGTAGAATATACCCAGAAAATTTAAATCAGATGCTGACATCTAGTATTTACAAAATGATATTGAATACAGATTGACTAGTCTTTTTACCATCATGAGTATGGCTTAGGTGGGAAGCATTTTGGTATAGTAAGAGAGGAGTGTTTTCTAAAATGGAGCCTGGCAGAAATTAGAATATTTGGCTATTCTGGAGAAACAGAATATATATATGGCTAAGGTACAAACTACCTGTAAAATTTCTGAGTTTGTGGGAATACCTAGTCATGACTGACACATTGTCTTTTCTTTCAGACCAAATGCAAAAAGGCGCTACAAGAATCAGAAGTTTGGCTTTGGTGGTAGGAAGAAAGGGTCAAAATGGAACACCAAGGAAAGCTATAATGATATGTCCAGCTTTCGTGCTAACAAAGCCCACAACAAGGGAACTGGGAAAGCGGGGAAAAGGGGTGCCAAAGTAAGTTCCGGTTTGGATATTATGTGCTACAATTGAACTGCTAGAGGAGCATGTGTGACTAAGCTAGTGAGACTAGTGAATTATGTATTATTCTCCTCTCTCTCTGTCTTTTCAGAAGAGGCCTGGCAAAAAGATGAGACAGAAAATTAAGAGCCATTCCTGATAAGGACTGGAAATGGATGACATTTTGAGCCCAGCTTCATCCAAAGTGTTGGCATACAGCCATGAACAGATAATGGACTTGAACCTGCCTGGCCATTGGTGTGCTGTGGAATGACAGATGCTTCTGTCTGATCCTGGACATAATACTACTCATACACAAATGGCAGATAGATGCTTTTTGTTGCCTTTCTTTCAGACTGGTTTGATAATTCTTAAGTGAATTAAAAAGTGTTGATGGTTTGAACATTTCATCCTTCCCCTTTAGGTTTGGAAAGATGCATTCTGGGATATTTGGGGAGGATATCAGAGTTGTTCAGTTCTTTGCCTATCACGCAAAAGCAGTGTTGTGCCTGCAAAGTATTGAAGTAGTGCCTGTATTTTGGCTACTTCCTTCCTTCCCTCACACAATGGCACCTGATTTCTCTCTCTCTCAAGTTTCATGAATTGCTGTATTAACCACTTACATATAAGTACTCAGAGAGTTGATGTAGTTATGGATGAGGAATTCATTACCTAGGTATCCATCAGAAAAAAGAAAAGACATGTAATTAAATAAGACAGGCAAGCAATTTGGGAACAAGTTTATTGCAAGTACTAAATGTTCAAACAAGACAGCTTCCTTGCTTAAAATAACCAACAACAATGACAAGATGATAATCTTGCAGGCCAGAAATCCTAAATGAGGGTTTAATGTCTCCACAGTAAGCTCCCTTGAAGTTACTATGTCCTTATTTGCTACTTTTTGTCATCTCCTTTAGGCGCCACATAGCGGCCATGTACCTGGAGATTTCAGTGCTCCGATTTGGGAAGTGTAGCCTATTATCGTTCCGGTTGATACTGATCTGTGAAAGAGAATATAATTACAGTATAGTATAACAGCATTTGGAATAAAAGGAGGAACAAGATATTGGATGCTTCAATATAACTGTCTATCGTTATCTGTTGAGATCTGGCTTTTGATAGCCCACTAGACCTGTATACTTCCAAGGCTTTCCCCACCACTCTAATGCTCTAAAATGGTATCATCTTTCTGTGAAGGCTCATCTTAAGGATGTCAGTACTTCACAATTTGTGTGGCACTCATCCCACATTTAGCTTCTTAAAAGTTCCCTGAAATTCTACTCACCAAAGGTGTGGAAAACCAACCAACTTCCTGACTTTCTGTTTGTGGTTCTGTGTATTTCTTGGGCGGTTCAAGTGCAGCATAATGAATAAGCTTTAGGAATTTAGCTGTTGGGTTAAAGCATTGACAGTAATTACTATGTAGTTTAAATTGGGTGCGTGTGAAATAGTAAATGTGTAGAACTAGATTAGAGTTATATAAATAGTGTGTTCTATTAAACATTTAATGATACTTTGGTTTGCATAACTTTTACAGGTCTGTATCCAGCATTAGGTATTACTATTTTACTTCAGAATGTATACGCTGTTATGCAGGAAATACTGTCACAAGATGACTGACATAAAACAGATCACCAAAACAAACACACAAAATATTTATTAAATAGCTTGTAATGGTTCTTTTTGGGGAAAAGTTAGGCAGCTATCACATTTGCATCTTGCATGTTTAATGAAGCAAAGCTGCAAGGAATATGTATTCCTTTTATGTGTGCTGAACTGCTGGAAACAGAATGCCTGAATGAGAAACAATGCATTTAACCTTTCCTTGTATTTAATGGAAAGATCATAAATCATGGATAATGCCTGTCTAGTAACATGCTCATATTTTTGTATTATGAGTTCTCATTCTGATCTAGATTTTAACCTTCTGAAAATGGTCTTTGCTTGGCATCTGTTTCTCTTGCAGTTCCAATAAATCCTGTATCTTGCTATTAGTTGTAGGCAATACTTTGCATAATTTATAGAAATACAGAAGCAATACAAAATGTCATTGAAGACACTTTTTTTAAAATATGGGAGAGACGAGAGAGAAAGTCCTGATTCTGAATTAGACATTAAAAGGAAGGGGAGAAAGGTGCAAGCCAACACTGTAGTATTAAGCTGAAATACTAATAGTTTGCTTTTGTTGCTAGTGCAAAACTGGAAAGGCAGTGATATCTAGTTCTGGCATAGTTAAATTTATTTTTATTTTATGTTTATTACTGTGTTATTGACTACTCCTGGTTTTCCAAACTAGAAGAGTGCATTATGCATGATAAGTGTACACAACTATTGTAGTCTACTCTGAAAAGCCACTATTTCACAATTTAGCTTGTCAAAGTTGGTCAAGTTGGTTATCACTGATTTGAAGTCTTAAAAGATAGGCTAATTAATGAAAACAATTCTATTAAAGTTGAATCCTATGGGCAAGAATTCAAATTACAGAAAGATCATATACTATGTCCTACTTCTTTAGTCTTAGACTATATATATCTCTCATCCTTATCAGCCAGAAACTCAGGAGGAAGGCATTTCAATGTATCCAGCATCATTTCAGTTTTCTTGAATTCTTAGGGCAGAGAATAGAAAAGACAAGTATGCAATTAAGAACTAAACACTGATTTAATAAAATGCTAAAGTCAATGAATATGTGTACCTTGGTAAAATGTTTACCAAATATGAGAAAATGGATGGAGAAATATTAAGGCATGTGCTGGTAGAAAGTCAGTAAGCAATAAGTGAACTGTTGTGAGGAATGAATGTTTGTCAAAAATAAAGTTAGTGTATTTTTGCCTACTTTATGCTATGTCAAGAAAAGCAAAAGTGA